ACGAAATGACTCAACTTAGTTTGGCTAGAAACAAACATTTTTCTTGTCATCTCTTTCTTTTGTAGGCGTGTTCATCGAGCTTGGTTTTTCTTGTGAACAATTGTTTTTTTAACCCATTATATAGTTAATGTTTAATTTTTATACCTGATGTGTGCAGAAAAATTCATAGCAGTAAAGTAATGATTTAACATCTCAACGTTGGACAAAGATACATCATACATACAGATAAAAAAAGTTAAGCAGGGGGAGACATATAGACTTTATATATGGAAAGTTTTGGAAATGGTAAAAAACCACATAGTCTAGTCCAATTGAAATAATTCTCTATATTATTTTAAGTATAAATGCAAATCTTCTCCTGAATTAGGGAATATAAAGTTACAAAGTTGATTATCGTAGTTGTACAATAGTTTGTTTATTAATAATAGTTGTAATCTGCTATAATAATTGTGAGATCCACAGTAATTTTCTCATTCACAATGTTAAATACAATAGATGATGAAAGTGACAACGGATCAAACCAAATGTCATTCGATCCAACAATTCCCATCCCTCCTTAGGTATAGACTTAGGCTTGGTTGTGATTCCTTGTAGTGGCAAATATAATTTTTTTTCTGATGCAGCAAATCCTCCATCTGCATCTTTCAGATAACAAATTCTGTCTCATTGAATTTCTCCACTTTAAACCTTGCTTTTTCGACCATTGATTCCACTTGAATCAAACCTCGCCCTCAAGTTTGATAGGAAATATACCAAACAATTCCCAACTTTACGGGGGCTTACGACCAATTAAAAACTAAACAATACCGCAGAAGAATGGGATCGTACCAATTTGAGAAAACTGGAACAAAAAATTAAACAAAAGGTATAATCAAAACAATCAGAAAAGCATACCAAAATTTTACATGGAAAAACCTGAGGACGGGAATAAATCACGAAGCCGCACTATCAAAAAATTTTACTATAAAATTCATAAGGTTATAAAAAGAACCCACACAAGTATTCTTTTCGCACACGAAGAAAACTTACAGGACTCGCTAAAATATTCTCTCTTCGATCCGAAGCAAGAATCACATTGAATCACTGAAATCAACATCTTTGACGTTTTTCATCTTCACCATGATGCTCAACGAACAATACAAAAGGAAGAAACACGAAAAACTATCGAAATCTACTTAAAATCGGGACTAAAAATTGAAATCTCGAAACAAACAGCTCTTGGCGGCTCTCGAGAAGCAAAACACTCGCCAAGCAAAACGGGCGCTTGAGCGCCTAAGGCTCGCACAAAAGCACCGACTTCTCTGTTTTTGCCCCAACATGGTCTCAAAAGCTCCCATAAGGGGCTCAAAAGTGACCCCTTCAAATGCATTGCCCAACAATGGACACTCAGGCCCCCAAACCCGGCGCTAACACACGGAGTTCCGGGGTGCTTTTTGGCTCCACAAACACAACACTATTTTGGCAAATGACTTCCCCAACCATCTCATCAGACGACCTACATTGATCAGACTTAATCAAAAAGGGGTTTTTTATTGATTTGAGAGCACTAATGAACTCCTAATTAAGCGAGCTTAGGCTCGTCAGATTCCTCGTAACAAGACACTCGATTTGAATATTAATATGTCAAATTTGGACTTCATTTGATCATTCAATTAATAATCAGAAGTCTTTAAATCAGCCGAGACGGTAACTTTAATTATAAATTTGTTGAAAACGGTAAGATTTCTAATTTGAATATGAAATATTTCTTACTAAAAAGGGCTATGAGATCCGTGTTAAATGATAAATCTTTTTTTATGACACATAAATTATAATATTTTCTTAAAACCAATCTGACTTATGAGCCATGAGTCAAATCCAGGCAAGATCAGATTTGAGTTGTTAGTTCATCAAGCCGGACTTATGAGCCATTTATCAAGTTGAGCTCAAATTGAATCAATTGTAGTACCGCATAAGCAAACTCTTTCATCAAGATATTTGCATACATAATTGTTATGTATTTACATCTCTAACTCCTAAACATTGATATTTACATCCACACCACTCAAAATTTTAAAATCTCATCAAAATCATCCCATCATTATATTTTTAAAAGTGAAATACCATTTTTCAAGCACATGTTTATCATACCAAGATCATATAATCCTAAATATCAAAATTTAGGTGTTGAAGACATAATTACAAAAGAATTGTGTGGTATATATGTAAAAGCTCTTATAAGAAATCGAGCTTGATTTGCTCTTCCACTTTCACTATTAAGAATTAATTGTGTGCAAGATACGACTTGCTATATGTAAGACATTTTCTATATAATTGTAAGTGTCAATTTTAAGTCTTGGAAGCACGAAATGCCTAAACTTGAGGCAATTCAGTAGTCGGTCACTTTGTTTCAGTCGGCTGACCAAACTCTCTCCCTCGGCCACCTCACTTCAGTTGAGCAACCAAGGTCTCTCTTTCTGTGCCACTTCACTTCAGTCGGCCAACAAACATGAACATAAAAGTTGGCCGACAAACATGAACATGAAAGTCGTCCGACAAATATTATCATATTTATACATTTAAATATTGCTCAATTCTTTTGCATTTACATATCGAACACCTAAACTACTTTTCCATGCATGAAAAGTACTTTTTAAAACTTAAGATATCTAATATGGCAGATTTTTGGGGTATAAATATGATAATTAATGTTTAGGTGTTAGATATATAAATAAATAAGAATTGGGTGGTATGTATGTAAATGATATATATAAATATAATTTAATAAGAGGCATGTGGAAAACCATTTCCAAACGGCAAGCGAAAGATTCCAAAAACGACGGCAAAAACGGACAGCCCTATATTAATGAGAGAATTCATTTCTTGCAAACAAAATAGTCAAAAAAGCATTATAGTTTGGAGTCCCCATCCATGCTTCCACCCTCAACACTTTACTTTGAACGCAACCGTTTGAATGTGCACTTTACACAAGCCATTTTTGATAGGTTTAAATTGTCAAAAATATTAATTTAATCAAGCATAAAATAAGAATAATATTAGGAATTGTTTATTGCTCAAAAATATTTCGAGATTCATGCATGATTAAAACAGTTTTTTATGTACATATTGACGTATCAATAACAAGAAAATAAAACAGTTTCCTAACTAAGGATCTGTTTGGGACAGTTACAGCTTATTGAATAATCTGCTGATAAACGGTAGCTATTACAAATTTTTATTTTTTTTTTTGAAAAAGTCAAACCGCGGCCAAAAAGCTACCACCGCACCTAGACATGTGCGGTAACCTAGACAGGTGCGGTGTAAAAATGTTGTTTTCAGTTTTTGAAAACGCATAAGCTGTCAAAACGCAGTTTACCCAAACAGACTAGGTGTGTTTTCAAAATGTCACCGCACCAAATAAGCTGCCCCAAACGGACCCGAAATGTTGGTCTAAAATATAATGAAGATAAAAAAATAATGATAATATTTATATATATACCTTATTTGAGTTGTTTTGACTTTTGAGGAAGGAAGGACGTCATGCTTGAGTGTGTTATTATTATTATTATTACTTGAGAGTATAAAACTTTTAGATGATAAAATTGTGTCCCTTAAGTTTGCCCTCTAATTTCTCATTTTTCTAAATGATGTTTGTATCAAAGAAATTAGCCACAAATTAGGTGATAATTCTTATAAACTAAGGTTTCTTTTGATATAAAGATTTGTTGGATGTATTGTCTTGTAAAATAAGAAGTCAACCGATTCGAAGTTGCATGTCTGCTTGAACAAGTTTAGGTGAGTTATAGCGAGTTGCCGTGTTGAGTTGTTTTGAATGATCGTCGAGTTCATCCTAAGGGTTGAATTTATTCTCGGGAATGAATTCATTCTAAGATTTGTTTTTAGGGTTGAATTAACCATTTGAACGAGTTCATCTTTACTAACATATGATATTGCAGTCACCAATTACAATATATGTGACCAACTATTACTATTACAACTTCCAACTACAATATTTGTGTACAACATACATTATTGCAATTACCAACTATGATATATGTGACCCATTAACGATATTCCAATGACCAACTACAACCTATGTGGTCAATTGACATTGTTGCAGCCTCCAACTATGACATTTATGACCAACTAACGATATTACAGCTTTAGTTATAATTTTTGTGGTCAATTAGTGAATATGCAACAACCAATTGCGGTTTTTATGACCAAATACTACTATTACAACTTATAGCTGCAAATTCTATGTCCAACTATTAATATTATAGTTACCGACTACAGCCTTCATGATCAACTTTTTATAATAGCTCCATAGTGATTGTTATAGCTAAACTACTAGTTTACATTTGTAATTTCAGCATTACAATTCATCTTATCTAATTCATTACAATTGTTAACCTATGTACTTATAAATTCATAGTCAATTATTTTGATTATGCTAGACGTCATAATTTTTTCCCTTTTCAAAATTTTTTCGTAAAAATTTTGATGTATACTCTTAGTTTCATATTATTTGTGTGTATAATCTACATATAATACTAAAATATTAAATTATCTTTTGCCAACATGAATTTATCAGCACGGAAGAAATATATAATTTGATGGATTCATTTTTCTACATTTTAAAGTCATAAAAAATTATTTAATTAATGCAGTAATCAAATCATTCAACTTCCTTTCTTATTCGTCTTGGTTTCGAAGCCAAAATGTATCTTTTTTTTTCTTTTTTTTGGGGGTCCATTTGGAGCATTTGGAGCAGTTTATAAGTGCATGCGGCGTTTTACAGGCGGCATTTTACAAATGCCACCGTACTGTTTGGTTCGACCATTTCGCCAGCTTTTTCGAAACCGTGTTTGAGTTTTTACACTAAACGTAGGCCGCGGGTCGACCTCCAAGGCCAACCCGCGAGTCGCGTTTCACGGATAAGCTGCCCTCAAAGGGACCCTAAATCCAAAAATATTTAATACTCGTTTTTCCCTTATAAATATATACTATCTTCCCCAAATGCCTTATAATTTGTGAATCCGCACATTTCAGTTTTCCTTTCTCTCCCTCTCCGAATCTGCTCCCAGTTCTTGCTTGCTGTCAGAGCCCAACCTGTAAGTTCTACATGAACTTCACTTTCTCTTAATTTCATCTTCCATGGTCTAAACTCTTATGTTTTTCAAAACAATTTCTTGGTTTTCTGAATCGATTGAAAGTTTATGGCCGAATTGCTGTGTCTGTGTGTGTGTTTTTTTTTTTAATTTTATATTTGTAGGCTTGTTTGCTGTATCTGAACTTTAGTTTTTGTTCCTGGGAAAGATGGGACCTCTTGAGTATTTTTGTTGGGGTTGGGCAGAGAAGTGTAAATGAAAAAAAATGGATTTGCTCACATTTATTGTACAAATTCATTTATCAAACATAAATTTGAAATTACATTTGCTTTATATATATATATTTTTTTTATTTTAAACCAAGCATGGACTAAGAGTTCTTAGTTTTTGGATTTCTTTCATTAGGTTACAGCTCTTATTTTTTGTTCCTTTTTTTTAAGATTTTGATACAGACCACTTAATTCCTATGTTTTTACAAATCTAATGCTTAAACTTTGATTTTTACGTATATATCTCACTTTTTCTATGCATGAAAAAATGGATATCACTTTTAATCTATGCATATAAAAAATGTAAGTTAGTGGTATTGATGTGACATGAAAAATTTTGAAGGTATAAACATAAAAAAGGTAAAGTTTGAGTGCTTAAAATTAGTTCTTCTGCTAGTTGGAAATTGATAAAATCAAGACTGTGTCTTGTGTATGATTCATAAGAAGATTTCAGTTTGTTTCACACGAGGTTTCGAGGAATTATTGCGTGCGGACACCACATGCATCTCTGCATGCGGTGTCCGATCCTGACCGTAGATCACGGTGATCTACGGTCAGGATTATTTCCATTTTTAAGAAAAAAAAGAAAAAAAATTTCAGCGGGACCCACCGAAATACATCGGGACCGTAGATCAGGTGATCTACGGTCCGGATCGGTCACCGCACGCAAGCTGTGTGCGGTGACCGATCCATATGGAATAATTTTTCGTTTCACACACATAACCAGCGACAGACGCATACCGGACGTCTTCTCATCTCCAAATCTGGACTTTTCGGGGGGTTTTTTTAGATAATACAAAAATGTGTAAGCATGCGTACACGTGTATGTATTTATGAGTGTATGTAGTTATGAGTGTATGTCTGGCACCTGTGGTGTGTCAATTTTGATCGTCTTCAGACAATATATTTTTGTGAAAAAGTAACTATTTTATTTAAAATGCCATTTTTCACCAACTAAACAACAAACATTGATGATTGATCAATACACAAACTCCATCTGAATCCGACTAAAATTCATGTTTGGTTGATCTGAATAATTTTTTGGTTGGGTTTGATTTAGGATTCAAAACTCGTTTATTTTTTTAGGTTGGGCTCACATAAACTCCTCAACTTTAAAATGACCCACCAACATGAAATTTACTCGAATTTGGCACATCTATTCGAAATTGACCTGAATTGACTCGAAATCCAATATTGACTGGAGCATCTGTTATCAAGTTAGGTTCAGGTTCGGTATTTGAAGGAGGGTCAGTCTTGGGTTGGACATTCTGACTCGTTTGATAATTGGATTAAGTTCGGGTGATGCAATTTCAGGCTAGATTAATTTTGAGTCAGCCCGAATCCGACTTGATACCCTTACTTTTCTAAGGGCCAAAATAGCTAAAAGTTATAATTCACATCAATTATTGATAGCAGAACCAGTAGTGAAAATACGAGAACATAAAAATAAATTTTCATTAATATTCAAATAGATTTACAACATGACTCAAATAGAATTAACAACACAAATATCAAAAGACACAAGCAAACACTCCTAAATGCATTCCAATGGATGTTGGAGGTCGACAAGGTGGGTCAGATGGTTTGTTGGGGTGGTTACAATGACAGTGCTGGTGGCTGTGAGGGGAAAGGTGCAAAACTGTAGAGACAACAATTGTGAAGGATTTTAGGTGGCTAGCAGCGGTAGTGGGGTGGATGGAAAGAGCTCGAATGAAGTTAGGAAGGTTGGGCAACAGTAATAGTTTGTAAGATAAATGACTGAGGAGTGGGGGAGAAGGTTTAGGGAAGGTAGAAGAGAAGGACACAATCACAACCTCGAAGAAGGATATAGCCGAAACACCATCATCTCCTTGGATATAGCCCATAAAGAGAAATTGGACTCCACACAAAAGGTTTAAAGACACCACAATCCAAACTTACTCTTCACGAACCATGGACACAATTTATAGGCTCCTTATTGGACAAAACGAACTTCTATACAAAAGGAGAGTGAGAAAGCAAGAAAAATCAAGAAAATCCCAAATTTTTAAGAGTTGGCGCCATCCGGATCGCAAATGCTCGTGATCAGCCCTCATGCGCCAGTTCTCAGCTTATTCTCCCGCTTTAGCAGATTTATGGGGTTCCCCGCTTCGGCAAAGCCTCGCAGGGCTTCGATCCTGCGAGATCAAAGCGCCCGAATTGGGGCGCTCGGTAGCATCTACGTCAATTATAGCCAGCTCTATGAAATTAACTGAAGAAAAAGCTTCAAAATCTTATGGAACTGTAATACATTTTCTGGAGGTATTTTACATTCCCTAAATCAGGATGCTTTCAAATGCATTAATACCCATTTAATAGGAATAAAATATCTTAAATGATTATTCTCCCTATAAAAATATGGTCACGGTGTTCCCGCTCCCGCCTTTTTTTAAAATCTTACGAACATGTAATATAGGAAGGCGGTAGCCTGATTTTTCCCGCACCCGCCTCCTCAATCCCAAAACGTCGCAATCCCGCTCCCGCTTCCATTCGCGAAGAGTCGCGCCTCCCGCCACTTCAGTCGCGCGCCAACGACTCTCGCCTTCCTATGTTGTGAAACGTAGCATCTCTTCGCTCCCACTTGTTTGTGATAAAAGACTTCGGACGACTCTCCTTCAGTTTTAGCAGTCATGGTGTTCTTTTTTGGTTTTCCTAGGGATAGAGGAAGAAAAATGCAAGAAGTTTTTCCTTGCGGTGAAGAAAGAATAAAGAAGAAGAAGAAGATTGTTCTCCCTTGGCTTTTTCTTGGTGGCTTGTGGTAGAAGTGAAATTAGGTTTATTTTTCTTGTAAGTTTATCTTCTTCGTTATATCTCGGTGTTGAGCTTCTTCGGTGTATTTCAATGTAGAGAGAGAAGAACAGAGAGCAACGAAGTGAGACATTCCTCTTGTAAGTCGATGTGATCGACTGGTGTAAATTTTTCAAGTATTAAAATCTTCTGCAACTCTGTGGACGTAGACAATTTACCGAACCACGTAAATCTATGTGTTCTTTTCTGGTGTGATTTTTCTCGTTCTATTTTTTCGTTTTGTCGATCGTTCTCCTATTTGATTTATATATATACCACATCAACTAGTATATTTATATCTCGCAACAACTGGTATCAAAGCTTTGTTCGGATTTGAGGAAGACGATGAATGCATATGAAGTGAAGGTTTTAGGGATCGAGAAATTTGATGACACAAATTTTGGTTACTGGAGGATGCAGATATATGATTATTTCTATGGGAAGAAACTTCATCTTCCGTTATTAGGGAAAAGACCTGAAAGAATGGATGAGGCTAAATGGAACTTGTTGGATCGACAAGTTGTGGGATTTATTCGATTGCTCCGATCGAGGTCTGTTGCATACGTCGTCAAGGAGATGACGACTGTAGATCTCATGACAGCTTTATCAGATATATATATGAAAATCCATCGGCGAATAACAAGGTGTACTTGATGAAGAAGGTATTCAACTTGAAGATGGCGGAATGTGTCTCTGTTGCTCAACACCTGAATGATTTTAATACTATGACAAATATTGAAATTAATTTTGATGATGAGATACGTGCGTTTATTTTGTTGGCATCATTGTCAAATATCTGGAAATCAATGAAAATGACAGTTAACAGTTCTGCAAGTAAATCCAAAGTGAAATATGATGATATTCGTGATTTGATTTTGGTTGAGAAGATGCGCTGGAAAGATTCTGGTGAAGCCTCGTGTTCAAGTTTGGCGTTGAATGTTGATTTCAGAGGGATATCACAGGACAAAAACTCAAATAAAAGGAAATCAAAATCAAAGGCTGGTCAACAGGCAACCTGCTGGAATTGTGGCAAGGCTTGTCACATAAAGAGGAACTGCAGGAATCCCAAGAAGATGGAGAATAATAGCGCAAATGTGGTATCTGAAGAAGTACAAGATGCACTATTGCTGACATTTCATAGTTTTGTTAATGATGGAAGTGAAGAGGATAGTGGGTCTGGGACCCTCATTCTTATTGTTCCACAGAGAGATGGTGACGAACCACAGAGCTATAAAGAAATCTTACAAGATGAAAGTTCGAGCAAGTGGGAGCTGACAGAACTTTTACCATAGAAGAAGGAATTACACAACAAGTGGGTGTACTAGATGAAAACTGAGCATGATGGCAGTAAGAGATACAAGGCTAGACTTGTTGAAAAAGACTTTCAGCAGAGACAGGATATTGCTCATGTAGTGAGAGTTTTAAGCAGAGACAAAAGTAATCCAGGAAATAGCTTGAAAGTGCAAGGCTATTTGGACCCTGCTGGTATGTTGACTGAGGGGGTTACTCTTGAGAAAGTGAAATTGTGTACAGCTTCAGTTGGTCTTCTGGAATGAAGACAGGGCTTTGAGTTGAGACAGGGCTTTGAGTTGCAGATGACAGGGCTTTGAGTTGCAGATGTGGAGGATTCATGGAGGATTCATGTTTGAAGAAAAGGGTGACAACGTCAATGGTGTATAATAGTTTGAGGAAAAAATATGTTGTAGCAGGTGTTCCGGTCTCCAAGTGGGAGATTGTTAAGCGTTGGAGCCCAATTTTACCAGCTCCCGCCTCCCCGATCGTGAAACGTCGCGATCCCGCTCCCTCTCCCATTCGTCTTCGGGAAAAGGCCGCGCCTCCCGCCTCTTCAATCGCGAGCCAACCGCTCCTGCCTTCTTATGTTGTGAAGTGTAGCATCTTTTCGTTCCCTCCTGTTCGTGATAAAAGACTTCAGACGGCTCTCCTTCAGTTTTAGAAGTCACGGTGCTCTTCTTTGGTTTTCCTCAGGATAGAGGAAGAAAAGTGCAAGAAGTTGTTCTTTAAGATGCAGGAAGAAGAAACAAGAAGAAGATTGTTCTCTTTTGGTTTCTTCTTGGTGACTTGTGGCAGAAGAGAAATTGGGTTTATTTCTCTTATAAGTTTGTTTTCTTCGGTGCATCTTGTTGTAAAGTTTCTTCGGTGTATCTCGGTGTAGAGAGAGAAGAACAGAGAGAGAAGAAGAGAGAGCAACAAAGTGAGAGATTCATCTTGCAAATCGAGCTGATCGACTGGTGTAAATTTCTTAAGTATTAAAATTTTCTGCAACTCTGTGGACGTAGACAATTTGCCGAACCAAGTAAATCTGTTTGTTTTTTTTTGTGTGAATTTATTCGTTCTATTTTTTCGCTTCGTCGATCGTTCTCTTATTTGATTTATATATATACCACATCAACTGATATATCTATATCTCGCAATAGTCATGCACTTAAAAATCTTGTCAAATTTTCAATTATGTTTATAACTCCTGCACTTTATTTTTGTAGAAAATTAAATAATACATATAACTTATTTTCCCTTCCTGCATGATCAGATCTTCTACAAGGTGATATCTTTGCTATTAAAATGTCGGCGGAGATCGAAGATAACTACGCAAAAGATGGCACAACAGACATCCATGGAAACCCAGCTGACAAAAGGAAAACAGGCAACTGGAGGACTTGCCCATATATTCTTGGTACAGATATTGTTTCCTCCTTCATCTTCCTGATTACAGTAACTAAAACTGCAACTATATTCTGTTCTTGCTGATGCAATATTTTTTATGAACTCCTCAATCTCAGCCAATGAATGCTGCGAAAGATTGGCATATTATGGAATGAGCACCAATCTGGTGAACTACATGAAATCTCGACTTAATGAAGGTAACGCAGTGGCATCAAAGAATGTCAATAACTGGTCTGGAACATGCTACATCACGCCTCTGCTGGGAGCTTTTGTGGCCGATGCCTACTGGGGCAGATATAGAACAATTGCGAGCTTCATGGTCATCTACATCTTCGTAAGAACATTTGTCAGCCAAAAAAATTTCAATCTTTTCTCCTACTTTTGCAACAATTTTCAAATTAATTTTTTTCTTCGATTCTTTATAGGGGTTGGTTCTTCTAACCATGACAGCTTCTTTAAAAGGGCTGAAACCTGTATGTCATGGAGGCAATTGCGACCCAACGACCGGACAAACAGTGGCAGTTTTTGTTTCTCTGTATCTCATTGCACTTGGAACTGGAGGAATCAAGCCTTGTGTCTCTTCATTTGGTGCAGATCAGTTTGATGAGTCTGATGAATTGGAGAAGAAAAGCAAGACTTCGTTCTTTAACTGGTTCTACTTCTCAATCAATATAGGGGCGCTTGTTGCTTCATCAGCATTGGTGTACATACAGACGCATGTGGGATGGGGTTGGGGTTTTGGAATTCCGGCGGTTGCGATGGCTATAGCGGTTGTTAGTTTCTTTATCGGCACGCCATTGTACAGACATCAGAAACCTGGAGGTAGCCCTCTCACAAGAATTGCGCAGGTTCTCGTGGCATCAATGAGAAAAAGTGGCGTCAAAGTTCCGGATGATAAATCATTATTGTATGAGAGTTCTGACAAGGAGTCTTTGATAGAAGGTAGCCGCAAGCTTGAGCACACTGAACTGCTGAAGTAAGTATGAATATAAACAGAACCTGGCATTGCTAACTGTACTGTTTTCTATACTACATGATATAAAAAATCAGTTTTTGCTTGCGTTGCAGAGGAAAGTAATTATTTTGATTGTATGTAGGATTGTGATTTTGATGATAAAGAAAGAAAAATTATATCTTTACTGTAATTTAGTTACCTGTTTCCAATAAGTTAGCTTACTCCTTATGCATAAAGAAGTTGTTGAATCCAAATATGCTCGGGAGACACATTTAGGGAATAGGTGAGATAGAGAAGAACGGAATAGAGAAAGCACCTTAATGAACAATAAATTTATTGATGAAATGAGTCATATTTATAGAAATTGGTATGGTGAGATTATATATGTACCCCTCGTAAAGCACGTGCAGTAGTGAGAATTTTAATCAACACATAGTTGTATGACCAGAAGCATGAAATGACATTCAACCGTATCATGATTCGGGCGGCTATGCGCCAAAGATGACGTTTGACCAAGTTATGAACGGAACGGTTGTAATTGAAGGGTTGAGCCAGAGGTGTCATTCGCCTGTCTAAGATTCAAGCGGCTCCTGTCATCTGCCCGGCCTGGATGACAAATCCTAACAGATTTGTGCGCACGAGATTATTACCAGTGGCCCTTTCAGAGGATAGTTGATTTCCAATTGTCATGGGGTTATATTTCCCTGCCCATGGTGAAAAACAAACCATTACATCATCTTCTATGTTGGCTGTTGAATTCTTTTGTGATTCGTGCTCACACATTACATTTTTTATGCACAAAAAACATCCTTCTGTCTTTAATAACAACTGAATTACACTTCAAATTCTTGCGCCCTGCAGGTTCTTCGATAAAGCAGCTGTGATGACAGACGAAGACAAACTAAAAACCCCTGTAAATCCATGGAGGCTCAGCACAGTCACCCAAGTCGAAGAACTCAAGAGCGTTGTTCGACTCCTTCCTATATGGGCCACCGGCATCATCTTCTCCACAGTGTACAGCCAAATGGGCACCATGTTCGTTCTCCAAGGAAACACTCTCGACCCTCACATCGGCCCCAACTTCGAGATCCCCTCGGCTTCCCTCTCCATCTTCGCGTCGTCCGCCTTCTCCCCATTTGGGCCACCGGCATCATCTTCTCGACTGTATACAGCCAGATGAGCACCATGTTCGTTCTACAGGGAAACACTCTAGACCCCCACATGGGTCCAAGCTTTTCCATCCCCTCTGCATCTCTCTCCATCTTCGACACCATCAGCGTCATCGTCTGGGTTCCCATCTACGACCGCATTCTCGTCCCCATTGTCCGCAAAATCACCGGCAACGAGCGCGGCTTCACGCAGCTCACTCGCATGGGGATCGGCCTCTTCATCTCCATCTTCGCCATGTTAGCTGCTGGCATCCTGGAAGTCATCAGGCTCAGAACTATCGCCAGACATAACCTTTATGACTACAAAGGCTTCCTGCCAATCTCCATTTTTTGGCAGATTCCTCAGTATTTCATCATTGGAGCGGCTGAAGTCTTCACCTTTATTGGGCAATTGGAGTTCTTTTATGACCAGGCGCCGGATGCGATGAGGAGCACATGTTCTGCGCTTTCGCTGACCACCAATGCGTTGGGTAATTATCTCAGCTCCTTGTTGGTCACCATTGTTACATCCATCTCAACCAGAGATGGGCGGCTGGGTTGGATCCCTGATAATCTGAATCGAGGTCATTTGGATTACTTTTATTGGCTGTTGGCTTTGCTCAGCTTTCTGAACTTTCTGGTGTACCTTGTCATTGCGAAGCTTTACACTTATAAGAAACCGGTACAGGTTCAAGGTTGATGATGTTCTTGTATTGAAGAAGATTTATGGATAGGATATCTTGTGCATTTCAAAAAGGGAATTTTTATTTTTTATTTGTTCAATTAGGATTGGGTTTTTGTTGGGGAAATTTACAACATACAACACAATTCTTATGGATTTACATATAAACGCCCAAGGTTTGATTTTTTACATTTGTAATGTCATAAATTTATGCATCAAAAGTTGCATTTGGCTTTTTAGAAGATAGTGATGATGTTAATTTGAAAAAGGATGTAAAAGATTAGAGTGATGTGAATATAAATATGAATGAGTAGGTGTTAGATATTTAAATGCTTAAGTTCTAGCCTGCTTTATTTTTGTTTTTATTATTGTTGTGGTATTTGATATGAGGGAGAGGAGCATTTTTTTTTTAATGGATTTGATTATTTTACCTATGAAGAAGCAAAATTTGATACCAATAACATGAGTGCAAGAAGCTATCTAGCGCTTGACAACAACAAAAAAAAAAACTGATGCTGATGTGCTGTGTAAGAAAGTAAGAAGTCTCAAAAGTTTCAAATTTATTTTAAAATAAAAGCATTATTAAATACATAAAATTATATATTTACATATCTAATATCAAAACTTTCATGTTTACATTTATAATTGATGCATGTCCGAGGGTTGGCATCGGTAGACTAATAAATTTTCGTCTTAGCATTGCAAGAAAACCGACACACTCGAGTAATTAAACAGAAGTAGGAGGATACACCTCAACATTTTACTTGAAAACTTCTAAAAATGAGAAAAAATCACTAGGTCTACCCCGGTTGAAGTAATCTACTGTGAATTGTAAGAACATATATATGTTCTTCTCTTGAATTTGAGAAGATGGAGTTACAAAGTTGATTATTATAAATGTATAACAATTGTTCATTGATAATAGCCGAAAACTAGCTTTAATGATTATAGTTCTGGTGATAACAGGTTGTACATTTCATAATCGATTGTTATGAAGGTGGTATTCTATCGTAGATGTTATAAATGATGGTTGTAGCGCCAACTTGTCATATAGGTTGTAGCTGAAAGTCATGACAGTAGTGGGTAGTGTGGATCACAGATGGTTGTATCTGTAGTGTCTGTTGGCTATAGAGATCGAAGTTAGAAGTTGCAAAAGCTGTGAGTCACTTAGGACGTGGTTGGTCACATAGGTCGTTGTGGTGAGCTGTGATGACGTCCGTAGGCCGCAATGACATAAATTGTGAGTTGCACGAGTTGTAAGCCTCATAAGTCGTAGTTGGTCACATAAGTTATAACAGTGAGCTATGATGATCTATCTAGGCCTCAAAGGCTTGGGTCAAGAGCTGAAAGAGTCGTAGACCACATAGATTATATTTGATCACGTAGGTCGTAGTGGTGGGCTTTAAGGGGAAAGCTTTAGTATTCCAGAAAAAGTCACCGCATTTGAGGGGCACTGTTGCAATGTGTTAGGGAAGCATCATTAAAATATGTGTTGTGTTCTTACACCGTCATCGAGGTGTGTTGTTGCATCATATTTAGGATGCATTATTTTCTCATCATCGAGCGACGACATCACACCATATGCGAAATGCTTTGTTACATCGTTATCAATGTATGTCATTGCATTGTATTTGGGGTGCATTGCTACACGATGTATTGGACAATGTATTCCTTTGTTGAGTGCTTCTCTGTTCTGCAACGTACGTGTGACAATAGGACTACACAATGGACTTCACTGTAAGGAACTAGTGCTAACCTACAGTGATCGACAGCGGCTGCCAGGTGGTCGTCGACGATGGTTGGCGGCTGCATGAGCGAGAGGAATCTGTTGTAGATTCAATGCATAAATAATGTCGAGCTTCAGCTCATTCTCCAAGCTCCAGTTTACTTTTGGTTCCATGTCTAAATTTGACTTGACTATAAGCTTATCAGAATTTGAATTTATTTAACTTTTTAATTATACAATAAAACCTTTTAGAAGTGATTTATTTGGGCGTGGTTTGACTCAGATTAGATCAATTTTGGTGTCAATGGATTTCTCTTGTTCAGCTCATTAGTTTGACTATAAGTTTGTTGAAATCAGAGTTCTTGATGATTATTAATTGAGGTTTGAATATTTCTTACTAAAAAAATGTCTCGAGATTCGTGTTATCACTAGATCCAATACCGAATGATGTAAATTGGTTGATGGTGTGTCAATGGTATTTTGGCATCATGAATTTATGAATGAAATATTTTATTTCACTTTCAAAAAAAAAATAATAATGATATTTTGATATGATTTTAAGAATTTGAATGATATGTAAATGTTTTATCATATGTAACTAAATACAAACTGTGCGGTATGCATGTCATTCACGATAGTGGACTAACAGCCCAGAAATTAAGCTCTGAAAGTCTGTTTTTTTGTGGGCCGAGAAAAAGTTCAACATACTGTTTATGAGATTTCTTTGTGGGCTCGTATGATACCCGCCCATCTATTTCACACCTGGATTTACACGTATCAGAGAATTCCAATCAACCATTATAATGAGCTATGTTGATAATCATGAATTAAGAAAAATTAATGATTAAAAGATAATTTTCTCAAGCATCATAAGAATATATATATATATATATATA